AGTGGACCTCAAGCTTTAACAAGTTCTGAAAATTCTATGGACTTAGTCAGGAAAAGTGTTTTGAAAACTAGGCAATGCTTTATTTTATAGACTACTGTCATATGAACTGTCTGGACTGGTACAACTAATAAGTTAAACCATTGTTTCTCAACCTGGGCGATTTTAAGATATGGGGCCTACACCTCCAAGATTCCCCCAGCCGGTTTGCTGGCTGGGGAATTCTGGGAGTTGAAGTCCACATATCTTAAAGTCGCCAAGGTTGAGAAACAATGGTTTAACTTATTAGTTGTACCAGTCCAGACAGTTCATATGACAGTAGTCTATAAAATAAAGCATTGCCTAGTTTTCAAAACACTTTTCCTGACTAAGTCCATAGAATTTTCAGAACTTGTTAAAGCTTAAGGTCCACTGCTGATTTTCAATATGCACTTATTTTGAATGGACTGACTTTTTTTGACTGGTTGTCTGCTGGAGCTGACTTGATGTGTTATTCATGATTGACACTTGTCTGAGAAGCGGCTCATGATTTTGGGCTGGCAGGCTGACAAGTGCTGGGTAGCCTCTGCCAGCCATGGGTCAAAAGATGGGGAAGAGCTGCCTAGCAAACAAGGAAGCTTCCTGCTTCACAAGGCAGCCTTTCTTCCCCTATTGATTATCCACAAAGCCTGCCTGGAAAAGTAGGACAGGTTTCCTTCACACAATTGCTTCATCTCCTTCCTGCCTGACCCATCTCAATTCCTAGGATTGGCTTCCATGTCTTTCACAGAAGCTTTGATGGGATCTCTTGAGTTCATTGAGTTAATTTATTTCTAGAGCTGCCCTCTTAAAACAATTCAGGGTGGCACACAAGTAAAAGTAAAGAGAGCAAAAATAAACTATCCCAAAATATAAAGTTTGATAAAACTAATACAACAATTCTGCCAAGGCATTTTCACAAACTGACAATCATTCTGGACAGAATCACAGTTCCTTTGACCCAACGCCTGGGGGAAAAGTTAGGTCTTTAGGGTTAGGTATCTACATACTCAGGGTTGCATTCTCAGGGGACTGGTCTGTATAACCTCCCCTTTCCTCTCTTCCAGGATGGGGTAACAGATTAAGAGGGAGACCTTTTCGGAAGCTACTATAGGTGCTTTGGTGCAACTAGGGGTTGGAGGGAGTAATATTTTTCCTTTCTTTTGTTTGGCAGCTAGTTTTTATTAGAAATAGTGGCCACAGTTCCTGCTATGGAAAGCTAAGTGGGGGAAGACATAAATGGAGTTTGACAGCTCATCTTAAGGATAAGATACATTTCTTCTAACAGAGACATGGTGTTAATTCTGCTACTAAAAAGACAGTCTGATGACATTAATCAGCATTTTATTCTTGCTTTTCGTTTTCACTGAGTAGAACCATTGTAACTAATTGTATTTCAATTGAATTTTTTCCTAGGGGTTGGACTTTGCTGCATTTACAGGGCACATGTTTATTGGAATTTGTCTCATACTTCTGGCTTCCTTTCCTTTTCTACGGCTACTTTACTGGAACAAAAAACTCTACAACAAGGAGCCAAGTGAGATTGTTGGTGAGTGGAAGTTTGAAACAATGTTGATGTAGATCTGACTATAAGTCTACATGACAAAATGAAATATTAACAGGGGTGTATTGTTAGGAATATGGATTGGATTTATAGTCAGCTTCAAGCCTGAGTATTTTTATATTAATGGACTGTAATTCCTTTTCCAGACATTATTTCATCTGTTTATTCAGTGGTTAACTTTGCTATGAACAGCATGCTATAGATTGTATTAAAGAGTATCAGACAATGAATATTACAGAAATAGTTGATTTAAAACAGCATCTCCTGGGAATCAGATGTCAAGTCATTTGGGCTGGCATGTGCCACATGTTGATGTCAGACATTACAAATGTATGACTATAAATTTCAGCTGCCCAGACTCTTAATTGCTTATGCAGGAATTGGCTTACTTGGCAAAAGGCTAATGGACATGATTGGGATGAGATTAATCTCTTTACTGCAGACAGAAATGAAGCTGTATATACATAGAAGAACTGTCTGTTGCAGTGCAAAGAAATCAGAGTCCTTATATACTCTATGCTCCAAGTTTAAATTCTAGGCGCTTTCCTCCTCTCCTTCTGAATCAACAGATACTTGGCTGTACTCTTGATGGCCTTGATCTAGCTGTTGACATAATGGTTCTCCCTACTCTCTAGCATGGGAATTAGTATCGCTTCTCATTCTTTATAGCTTCAATCTTGATTCCACTTTTCTGTTTAATATTTTAAATTAGTAGGCAGTGATTCCTTTATAGGTATGCTTTCTTTTTAATTTTTAAAAATTGATTTATCTTTAGCAGGCATAAAAGGCATTTTTAGAAGCAGCTGTCAATTAATTGGCATTGGGTCATAAGTCTGAAATCCTAAATGCTAATCTGAAAGTTATTAAGAGTTGTATATCCCAAGGCTGGGATATCTTGAGGTCTTTAGGGGAAAAAGGTATGATCCTATGCTTTGTTGTTTAAAAGAGCATAATCATCCATGCATCAGTCTTGTATTTTACTAACCAAAATGGTTAAATATATTCAGTAAGGAAGCATATTCAAACTCAAATTAGACATGTCATCTGTGTTATTCTCTCATTACTATCTTCAGATTCAGCAGTTCTCATAATTAGTAAACTGTTCTTTTCCCTCCTACAATCAGCAGCAGTTACATCATGATGAAGCTAATCAGTACTTGCTCAATAAAAGCAAATACTAAAGTACTAGTTCTATTAATGGTTTCTGGGAAATGAGATGACAGAGGTGATCAAAGAACATTTCATTAAAAGGGACCTGAAGCAATTTGGCTTCAGAGAAGTAACAGAATGAGTGCAAGATGTCTTAATGGGACTTTTCAATCTTTAATTGCTGTAGTTTTCTGATAACCTTCAATAGAATTGTTTGAAACAGCTGTTTCAATCAACTCAGTGTCTGCAGAGTTGCCCCCTGATTACCAATCAAACAAGTACTGAATGTACATAAAAAACCCACTCATTTACTGTTCTCCATTGCTTAGATTTCCTTGGTTGTCATATCCTTTTTGAGGGTGTTCTGCTGCTATTCAGTTGCTTAGATGAGCAAGGAATTCATAAGACTGCATTTTGAAATGCAAGGAGACTCCTGACATTTTAAAATCACAGACTTAAAAAATTCTGCTTACTGAAAAAGCTTAAAACCTTAAATAACACCCCTCCATTATTTTCCTAATTTTGCAGCACACAGGCTGTACTTCCACCATGTCATTTTTCTCCTGACCCAATCTATCACTTTTTTATTCTTTTCAATCCATTTCATTTATTGATTTATTTGATTTAAATTAACTGGAATTCCAGATCTAGATCTATATCAGCAGGTGGCCTCATGTGGATAACCTTCTCTAAGTCTTGGAAACCAAGGAGGGTTAGTACCTAGGTGGGAGTCACAAAACAATTCCAGACTGTAGGTGAAGATAATCTTGAAGAAGGTATGCAGGAACAGTGAAGGTAAGATAAGAGACAAGTCAATCTTGGGAAAGCAGAAGGCATGTGTAATGGTATATGGGAATGGTCTTGGGAGATG